TAGGGGGTTTGTATATATTTATTGCATTTTATGATGGGGTTTGTTTTGGGGGTTGTTTTGTTCGTTTGTTTATGTGACTGCTGCTAATCGTGGTGTAGTTGAGTAGAGATTCTATCCCCCTCTCATCATCACCATCTTGAGTTAGAGGCGAAGGCGTATTCCTCGAGAGACTCAAGGCACGAAGTTGACACAAAGACATGGCCTTTCCAGCAGAATACAGGTATAACGGTACGATGTAGTACGAAGTGGTATTCCCTCTATCCCTCCCCACAACCCCCATAACGAAACCCCGCAAAAACGCCAATCATGCAAGCCATGTCATAACCTTGTTTGGGAAAAAAAAGCCCATCCATCCCACACTCAAGTCAACTCGCTCAATCATACTCCGTCTTGACCTTCTTCGCCCTCTTCTTATTCGCCTTGAAGTGCTTCTTGCTACTGGTGCGAATCTCACTAGGATCCACATCCCTCTCAAGGGCGGTGATAGTTTTAAGTTTCCTGCCGCTCAGCTCCTTGCCCTGCTCGCTGTACTTGTGGTGGAAGGGCATGCTGGTGACTGCGTTGCCCTGGCCGGGGCCGAAGAACTTCTTGTCCATGCGGGCAGTCTTTTGGCCGGTGACGGGCGCGCCGGAGAGGGCGAGTATGTCGAGGTCGTCGTCGTCGACGTTGGCTGTGTCGTCGTGTGCGTCGGCGGCGGAGGAGGAGAAGCCAGCGCGGAGGGCGAATTGGGCGCGGCGCCTCTCGGGGAGGTGGGTGACGTCGTAGAGTTCGCGGTTGAACTGCTTGGGGTTGATGGGCTGGTCGACGGGCGGGGGGTGGACGAAGAGGAGTTTGCCCTTGACGTAGTCTTTCAAGATGTACCTCGCTGCTCGAGACTCGTCGGGCTGGCCGAGACCTTGGGTGGAGAAGCCGCGGGCAATGGCGTAGGCGCGGAGCATTTCTTCAGACGTGGGGATGCCGGTTCCGCCTTCCTCTTGGGGTCGGATCTCCATCTTCATGCCGTAGATGGCTTCGAGGAAGGGCTGCGGTATGCGCTGTGCTACAAGACCAGCGGGCCCGGTGTATTCTCGCAGTTGGTCGATGGGGAGGACACCGCAGCATACGAGTTCGGCTTTTGTGAATGCGAAGTTGGGGAACACGAGACCGGGGCAATCGCAAAGTACGACCTCCTCGCTGAGATGGACCGTCTGGAAATGCTTCGTCTTTCCTGGTGTCGCCGAGACGGACACTTTCTTTGCGCCGATCAGAGCGTTGATGGTGGAAGACTTTCCGACGTTGGGGTAACCAACGAGACCGATTTGGGTCTTGCGACGTACGCCGTTCGGTCCTGTATCTACATCGGGTGAGTTCTCGAGGAACAGCGCCTCGAGGTCTTCTGTGGTCAATATCCGTATCCGTTCCTCCTCCTCCGATAGTGGCGCGCCCTCGTCGTTGGCCGACTCTTGTTTCTTGTCCTGGATGTTGATCTTCTTTGCCTTCTTTACTAGGTCGTCATCCTCTGAATCACTGTTCTCCTCTACATCGTCCTCACTCGGAGATTCGTCCTCGTCTTCCTCCTCTTCCTCGCTGCCACCCTCACTGTCCTCCTCACTATCCTCCTCATGCGCCCTAGCCTCGTTCAACTCCTTGGCCAGCTCAGCAGAGAAGAACTTGTAGTTGATGCCCGCCTCGGTGAAGTAGTCGGCCCATGCGCGTCGCTGGTCCAGTGTCATCATATCTGCCTTGTTGACCAGCAACAGGTTGTTCTTCTTGGGGTCCACCTCTTTGACGTAGACCTCCAAATCCTCGGACCGGAAGAGAAGCGGGTTTCGGGCGTCGACAATCTGCACGACCAAGTCTGATCGCTCGATCACTCGCCACAGCTGCCTCCACACTTCGAGGTTGCGCTCGAAGGGCGTCATCAGCAAGTCGTTGTTCTCCTGCAGCTCAGCCAGGCCTCTCCGCCACTGCAAGAGAGCCTCCTTCTCGTGGGTATCCAGTTCCTGTGGTGTCGTCTTCTCGTCCCACTTGGGACGTCTGGGGACGCTCAGCCGGTCCCTGTTCTCCCTGTGTTTGCGCATGATGCTGCGCTCGTCTGCGGCGGACAGCAGGTATGGGTTCTTCTGGTCCTTGTGGATGATCTTGACGTTGTTCATCTTCTCGGCGGTGAAGTCGGTGCCGGCGAGTTCAGCCGTCGACAGGAATTCGTCGAGGGCGCCCTGCTCGGTGACGGAGCGCATCTTGACCCATGACGCCTCCTTCTTCTCGTTGATGATGTACTGTCCAATGTTAGTCCAGGCTCTGTCGGTAAATGTAAGGGCGCAGACTCACCTTCTCGCCGTTCTGCCCCGTCCGCTCGATGCCAGCGTTGAAGTTGCCCTTGCGCATGTCGGCGCCCTTGCCCTTGCCGAACCTGTCGTTCATCAGGCTGTTGCCCAGCCCGACGCTCTTCTTGGATTTTGCGAGCACCATATTTGCGGTTGTGTGGGGGTATCTCGTGTGTGTGTGTAGGTTCTGGTGGGCTCAAGTGAGGGGTGAAGAGAAAGTTAAAGTTGCCCCACGCCGATTCATCATCAAACTCGGCTAAATTATTTTTTTGGCCAGAGGAAAGTGCAACGGGCGCCATTCGACTCTTTTGTCAGCGTCTTTTCTCGATTCCAACGGCCAACAATCACTTCGCCACTCGGAGCACCTCGCAGACAGCCCGCAACCGCCAACATGCCTCGCCGAAAGTTCATGTGTGTGCAACTCCAGGCGATGCGAATGTCGAGTACCCCGCTAACCCCTCCAGCGATAAGAAGACAGCCATCAACTACAGACTCGTCCACCGCGCCCAAAATGACCCCCGCATCCACGATGAAGACGCCCCGCAGATGGTCTTCGCCGAGACCAGCGCGCCCAACATGCGCGACGAGTCGGAGCCCGCGGGCAGTTCCCGGGCGTCGCAGTACTCGGCCGCCACAGGACGCAGCAAAATCAGGTCTCGTCGCGACCTAGAGGCCGAGTTCGAGGCCAAAGTCAGGACAAACGAGGGCGAGGCAGCCAACCATGGCATCTTCTACGACGACACCGAGTACGACTACATGCAGCACATGCGCGATCTGGGGTCCGGTGGAGGGAGTGCCTATTTCGTCGAGGCGCCTGCCGACAAGAAGAAGGGCAAGGAGAAGTTCGACCTCGCCGATGCCCTGCAGAACGCTTCTCTGGACGAGAGACGGAGCGACGCGGGATACAGTATGAGCAGCACGACCAGCAGCGTGAGCGACATCTTTGGCGAGGACATGGCCCCTTCCGAGTTTGTGCGCAAAACGACATACCAGGACCAGCAGAGTGTCCCAGACGCCATTGCTGGATTCCAGCCAGACATGGACCCGCGCCTGCGAGAAGTCCTCGAGGCGCTGGAAGATGACGCCTACGTAGACGATGAGGACGACATATTCGCCGAACTCGCAGAAGACGGCTACGAGGTCGACCAGCGAGAATTCGACGCAGCCGGCTACGACGAACAAGATGGCGACGCAATGCAACGCTTCCTCGACAACGACGAAGAAGAAGACGAAGGCTGGCAAACAGACGACACTATCAAAGCCTCGTCCTCCCAAACCAAGAAGAAGTCCAAGCCAACAGACCTGGACTCGCTCCCCGCTCCCGACGAAGCCCCAGCCCCCGCCGACGCAGATGACCTCGCCTACCTCGAGGAATTCAAAAAGTTCAAAAACGCCGCAAAGGCACCAAAACCAACCGCCCCCTCAGACACACAATCCTTCCTCACCGGCGCCTCGGCACTCACAGCAGGCGGCCGCAAGAAAAAGCGCAAGGGCGCCATGACATCCACATCTGGGTACAGCATGTCGTCGTCGGCGCTGCACCGGACTGAAGGCCTCACACTGCTCGACCAGCGCTTCGACAAGATTGAGGAGGAGTACGCGAGTGAGGATTTCCCCGACGATGTGTCGTACGTGTCGGGCATGAGTAAGATGTCTGGTATAAGCGGGATGAGTGGTATGAGTGGCATGAGCGGTATGAGCGAAGCGCCGCAGCTGAGGAGCGACTTCGACAACATCATGGATGATTTCTTGGGGACACATCATGTGGCTGGGAAGAGGAGGGTCAAGAAGGGCAAGCAAATGACAGGGTTGGAGCAGCTGGACGAGGTGAGGCAGGGCTTGGGGCCGGCGAGGTTCAGCAAAACTGGACAGAAGGTGTGAGGCTGGTGGGGTCATTCGTGGGCATTTGTTTGGCGTTTAAGGGTTACGAAAAGGTCGAGGGGTGTTATGTTCATGGGTTGTGCTATGTTATACCCATGTGAAGAGATGAATGAATCTACGCACTTGACTGTTGTTGTCTCGTCTTGTCTATATGTATCTCGCCCTTCTATATATGGCTGTGGGATCGAATCGAATCCTCTTCAATAGATCCTGTCGCCTCAAACTCCCTTGACCTTATACTCATCCTCGCCCTAGATAGCTCCAAAGGATTCAACGCCGTAAATATAACGTGGGGTATCATAATCCGTCTACCATGCCCGTACCCAGGCCAGACTCGGGCCGTACTCTCTCTCTTCTTGGCACTCGGCCATTCCAACACCGTCCATGCTTCAATTCATGTCTATTCCTTCCCCATCCCCACCCCCCTCACACGGGCAGTACAGCCTCGATAAACCGCTCCAGCCCCGTCTCAAACAGCTCGTTCGCCACGCCAATCCCCCCCGGGTGTTCCGTCGGCGCAAGCGGATTCTTCACCACATACTCGACGTACAGATTCGCCCAGATCTGGTGCAGATACTGGCGCAAGTTGATGACTTTGGTGTCGGTGAGCATGACGAACTTCATGCGCGTCGGCGTCTCGTAGTAGTGCAGCTTGTACTCGCCCGTGCGGTAGGACAGGAACGTGTCGTCGGTGCCGCCCAGCTTCTGCACTAGGTTGCGCAGCGAGAAGACGAGCCCGAAGATCAGCTTCTCGTCGTCGGAGTGCGAGAGCGGCGCGCGGGTTGGGGCTGCGGGAGGGGCGTCGGCGGAAGGCTTGCTGCTAGAGGATGTTGGGCGTGGGGAGGGGGTCCAGCGCCGGCTGTAGATGCATTGTGCTGGGGGTGCGGTCAGTGGGGAGGTTCGGGAGGCAGGACTACCGGGGTCTGCGTACTGTGTCGATCGAAGATGTAGAATGCGTAGAGCACCATTATGACATGTATGTGTATGTGTTGTTGCTGCAGTCGTGTGCGCAGGCTTGTTTCACGCAATAGCGAGTCGTGTTGGATTGCGGGGGCGCGGCGGATGGAGATAGGTCGTGGTGTTGGAGGTCGCGATGCCTAGCCAGGTAACTCGACGATCTCGCAACAGCAATCGAAGGCTCGCAGCTGTTTGATAGGAGCGGGCTGCACAAGCGAACAGGTCGCCAAGGGGGCGGTGACGGCGATGGACAGAATGACGGTTGCTGCCTCAGGCTGAAAAGAAATGCATCCTCCTGCTACGTAGCTAGTGAAGGGGCAGCAGCTTCCCCCCTCCCCATCACCGAGCATCATCCTGGAGCTACAGTCGATCCGTCGCCGCGACCGCCTGACAAGCAGCTTACCCTACCCACTCGCCCTCTCCACCCTCTCCCCACCCTCTCCACATCGTGTCTGGTCCTTTTCGTGTCACACTCTATCCTTGCAACCCTTATCAGTCTTATAATATTATTGCATCATGTCCGCTCCTGCTCCCACAAAGCACGCTTCCGAGTCGCATGTTCCAACAATCTACACCTCCAAACCTGCCCTCGACGTTCCCATCCCTGGAGCGACCGAGAGACCACAGCCAGTGAAGTTTATGTGCGTCGTCGTCGTCTGCTGCTGCCCCGCGGAGGTGCTGATGCTTGCCATAGGTCCACACCCACATACCAGAGCCCGTTACGACATCACAGGCGAGCGGCTTCCTCTAATAGACACGTCAAGGTACAGTCGACGCGGCGATTGGAGAAGCGAGAGAGCCTGACGACGACTGCAGGAAACGCTCAATGCCCGGTCCCAGTACAGCAACAGCGAGGATGACGGCACCGCCCAACACCGCATCAACCAGTACTGGATAAAGCAGGAGATTGGCCGTGGTTCGTTTGGCGCCGTCCAGCTCGCCGTGGACCAGTATGGCCAAGAATATGTGAGGACACCAATTCTCTAGCTTCCCACAAAGAACTATGGCAGCCACTTTCAATGCGGGTCACCTATATGGATAGAAATGGGGGGGCTCTCGCTGACATGTTGGAGTGTAGGCTGTCAAGGAATTCTCAAAGTCCCGGCTGCGGAAACGCGCACAATCGAACCTCCTCCGCCGACCGGGACGACGACGCGCTCTTCCTGCCGGTATAGGCTTCAATTCGCCGCTCCATCGACATTCGTCCACCGAGGAAAACAATGCCTTCGAGCTGATCAAGGAAGAAATCGCCATCATGAAGAAGCTCAACCACCCGAACCTCGTGGCATTGCTCGAAGTGCTCGACGACCCGGAAGAAGACTCGCTGTACATGGTCATGGAGATGTGTAAAAAGGGCGTTGTTATGCAGGTAGGTCTCGATGAGCGCGCAGATCCATACACAGAGGAGCAGTCGCGGTGTTGGTTCCGGGACATGATACTGGGCATGGAATATCGTACGTCTCGTGCTAGAAGTCGTTGAAGGCTACAACTGACGACTCGGATAGTTCACGCTCAGGGAATCATCCATCGAGACATCAAGCCCGACAACTGCCTCATCATGGAAGACGATGTGCTGAAGATTTCAGACTTTGGCGTGTCGGAAATGTTCGACAAAGAGGGCGATATGAAAACTGCGAAATCCGCTGGATCGCCTGCTTTCATGCCGCCTGAGCTGTGCGTCGCCAAGCACGGCCGTGTCTCTGGGAAGGCTGCGGATATCTGGTCCATGGGCTGTACGTTGTATTGTCTGATCTTCGGCAGGATACCGTTTGAGAAGCACGGCATGCTCGAGCTCTACGAAGCGATACGGGAAGACGACGTGCAGTTTGACAGTTCGTGCGACGGTGATCTCAAGGACCTCTTCATGAAGTTGCTGGAAAAGGACCCAAAGAAAAGAATAACGATGGAACAGCTGAGAGTAGGTCGTACCCGCTTGCATCTTCTACTACGAGTGACTGACACGTTACAGGAGCATTCGTGGGTCACACGGCAAGGGACCGACCCTCTATTACCCACGTCGGAGAACGTGGCTGTCATCTTGGATCCGCCCACTGATGAAGAAGTCAATGCTGCTATCACTGGAAACATGGGCCATTTAGTCACTGTTGTGAGTAGAATCCGACTCTCTTTGTCACTATGCTGATCATCGACCAGGTCCGAGCGGTAAAACGTTTCAAGCAATTGCTCTTCAGACGGCGTCCAGAACGCCTGGAAAGTATATTAGGTAGTGCTTCACGCATGGTCCAACCTCCGTTATCCATGCGACCTTCGACATTACGAAAATCGAAATCGCAAGACACTCACGACCGACAACCCCTTGAAGGAGCACTGACTACCGAAGGCATACATCGCAACATCATTATCGACAGTAACAACCGCAAGGTCCCTCATAACTCCAATGACATGGCGTTCATAAAACCAAGCCTTCGAAAAGAAACTAGAAGCCATTCAGGAGTCAACACTACCGCACCAAGCAGCCCAAGCACACTACAACCCATAGACACTACTGGGGGCAAAGTAATACATGAAAACACGTCATATCGACCTGGGCCATCGCAGCCCATCCTCGTCCCTGGCGCGGCATTGCACTCTGGACCCTCTACGCCCACTGTCGGCAAAGGCCACGCCCACAACCCACTAGAAGACACGCTCTTCCTCAACATCGGCACCGGCGGAGACTACGAACCCACACCGGAAGAGTCATGCATCATCTCCGAATCCCCATCCAACGCCGACATGAACGTGTACGAATCCGCGTACGAAGAAGAAGTGCAACGCATCATCGCCCAACGCAAAGACCAATACCAAAACCGCCGCCCAACGCTCTACCTCACGCGCCGCGTCGAAAACCTAAACTCGATCCGCGACAACGACTGCATCTTCGACGACGGGCAGGACACGCGCCGCGACATCAAGGGCGGGTTCAAGAGCTTCGTCCAGAAAACTAAAGAGGATATCGAGGCCCGCGGCGAAATGCAGAAGCTGCAGGAGGGTAAAGAGGGCAGGCTGAGTAGAACTATGCGCAATGTCCGCGAGGCTAAGAGGCTCGTTGAGGAGGCTAGGGAGCGCGTGAAGATTGAGGACCGAGAGAAGGAGCGCGAGCGTGAGAGGAGTCGGAGTGTTACGCCGCTGAATAGGACGGGGAGCTCGGGGAGTATGCTGAGTCGGAGTGGGACGCCGGTGGCGGTTGAGAAGTGAGGCGTGGTGTGGCAGTGGATGGTGTTGGATAGGTTGTGGTGATGGTTATGGTTACGATTCTTATTCTGGATACGTGTATGGACTCCGGCCTGGCTGGGAAACAAGCAACATTATTGCTTTGGCAGACTGAATGGGGTTTTTTATTTTCTGGGGACTGCCCTCCCCCTCCTTTCATGGTGTACAGTCTCTTGTAGGTAGCTTCAGCTTTACCTTGTACACGAATGGAGTTGGTGCTTATTCGTAGCTTTCTACTCAACACATACACATACACACACACATACATATCTTCTCACCCCGTGGTAATCCAATCACATTCTTTAGCGTGACCTGCAGACTTTACTTACATCCACTCCATTTACGCACCATGAGGCGAGCCGCGGGCGCCGCTGAGTGCGAGGACCCATTCACATTTATTTGTAGACTGCGATGCAACACCGCAAAACGCAACAATGCAGGACCAGAAAAGTTTAGGCTATGCTGTACTATACTATACATATACACTTCTTGAGCCTCGTTCCCATTCCTTTCCCCATTCCCATGCCGTAAGCACCCAGCATGCTCTAAAGAAAAAGTGCACTCCATCCCAGAAACGCCGCTCGCAGCCTCATCAGCCCCGGCGATTTTAATTTCCATTCCACCCCATCAAAGCCGCGTGATGAAACAGAGGAAGTAGTAGATAAGAAAGAGAACCCCCCCATCTACAAGAGCGACATCTGCGCCTCCGCATCCGTAGCAGCAACGACGTCCTCCCCACCATCTTCCTCCTTCATAACCTCATCCGGCTCAGCGGCAAGTAATCGAATACGGGCATCGACCGCATCCTCCCCAACAACCGACTCCTCGACCTGCGCCTTGCGCACAAAGACAGTATGCCAGCGCTTTCCCCACGCGCGAATAAGCGCAACCTGATCATCCGTAAGCGCGCCAGTAGCCTGTTTCTCCTGCAAGACGTCCGCAGCGCCCTCCGCGACGCCGCGCATCGAATCCTCAATATACTTGAACAGGTCGCGCGCGGCGTCGCGGTCCTTAGCCAGCGTCGCCTCCACCATCTCCATCTGTTCCTGCGGCAGGCCTTTTTGCAAGCGCGCGGATGCGATCTGGCGGTTACGATTCGTCACCTTGGCGACGGTGTTGGATACCATTTCGAAGACCCAGCTTTCCGTTAGAGCTTCGCCGGCGCCCATGTGGCTGCCGAAGACCCATTGTACTACCGTCATGGGCGCGAGGATCGTGTAGTTGAGCAGGATGTCGATGATTCGGACTGCGACGCCGGGCTGGTCTTTCCAGTATTCTACTACGCTTGCGACGATCTGGCGGCGCGCGACTTCGTTTTGGGATATCTCGAGCAGGCGGTCTTTGCCCCGCTCGATGCAGGAGAGTACGTGGGATAGGGATTTCGCACCGAGTCGGCAGATGGCGGTGACGAATGCGTCGGTTGATGGGACGAGGACCTCGGCGATACCTGCTTCGAGGGCTTTTTCGTGGATCTTGTTGATCGTCTCCTGAATGTCCTCCGCCGAAGCCTTCTTTCGCAGCTGATGAAGCAGTGTTTGGCCTTCAACAGCATATGGCGTTTCTGCAAATAGAGATTAGTTGTGTCTAGACTTTAACGCTATATTGTACATACCCTGGTTTTCGTATTTGAAGTCTGGACTGTTGTCTTCGTCCAATCGCTCTGGGATCATGGAGTGCATTTGTTCGGGCAAGGTCGATCGGATACGCTTAGCGAACGACAGTCGAATTTCTTTGTCAAGCGCAGCAAGGATGAAAGCCTTCTTTGGATGCAAATTCGAGATCTCGAGATCAACAAGCCTGGTCACTGATTAGCTGAGCCTTAAATAAGAGAGTTTATCACATACCATTCCGTCCATCTCCATCGGAATTCGAAGTTACTCAGATGATGCGAGAACCAGTCCAGGAATCGGTATCCCAGCTCAAGATCCAGTACGGGCAAGCTGGTGTATATGGTACGGATAGCTCGTCCAAGTGACGGGGCGATGGCGGCCGGAGCGACTTTACAGCATTGCGTGATGAGCGCATGGTAGTAGACAAGCTTGTGCTCAGCGCTGGGCAGTTTGAACAACTGCGAAAAGACGGCGTCGATAATCATGTCCTCAGACTTGTACTGAACTTTCTCACTGACTGCATCACGGAACTTGTCGAAAGGTGTCCCGCGCTTGGCAAAGGTGTCGATAGACCAGTAGCAATCCAAATCTACAAGGAACTTGGCGACCATTTCCCGGTTGAAGTCTAGCTGATTGATCGTGTCGACGATACCATCTCGAATCAAGGACGAAGCAATGTCGGAAGTCTTGGGAACAGTGCAGCCTTCCGTGTCCGCAAAGAGAGAGAAGTAGGCTTCCGGGAAGATCGGCCTAGGTCCTGGGTTGACAGGCGACGGAATGGTGAAAGTCGGGAAGGCGTGGGTTGGGGGAGCGGTTGGTAGAGTCTCATCCTCCGTCTTAACCCTGCGCAAAGCCTCGGGGTCGAAACGTGGAAGACATCGAAGTTCGAAACCGGACTCGGATTCGCTCGTGAGTTGCGCCTGCAGAAGACCAATCACACTATGATAGCCCATTGGCTTGTCGCCATCATCTCCGACATAGGAATGGATCAGGCCCTCGATTGGAACCATGTTACTAGCAACAATGCCCGTGTTTGCCAGCAGTTGCTTGGCTTGTTCGTGGAAGCGGCTTCCTCCAGCGACCAACGCGTACGGAACCGTGAGAAGGATAATTTTGATGAGCTCGATGCCGACAGTCTGGAACGGTTAGCAAGTTGCAATGAACCATAGCAAATTCGACTTACGTCATTCTCATTGGTTGTCTGAAGATCCACGACAGTGTCAAACAACTGGCTCAAAAAGGTGAAGACGCCATCGTCTTGGTACAGCGCCTGCAGACAGGCGAAGAACCTCAGAAGCAGTTTGAACTCCTTCCACTCGCCAGCATTCAGCGCCTCCTGGGCACGATCTCCAACGCGCTTCATAGCCTCCATGGTGATCTCTGGTTTGACATCGTTTCCGTAGAAAGCGACTGCTGCGACGAACGGAATCTTGAACGGTTGCTCGATGATACTGTGATGCGTTAGCAGAGATTCACGGAACACGCACTTCTCCAAGGTTTACGTACAGTTGAACGAACACGTCAAAGAAGTCGGACCGGAGACGCTCATCATCGTATTGTTCACCAAAGTACTTCGCAATCTCGATAGCCTCGTCCTGTGGCAGCTTGGTGGAGCTGGCGATGTTCAAGAGCAGGCGACGAAGTTTAGGAAACGGCGGTTCTTCGTATCGGCGGCGCGGAGGGCCTTCGTCATGGCGACGTCGCTGAGGCCCGCGACGGTCGTCACGGTACGCGTTGTTGTCTTCGTCATCTGCGCAGTAACAATTAGCATGTCGCAAACTCGATAGCGCGCGTGTGATATTTCATGGAACCCGTCCAACACCAGCTAGCAAACAGAGCATCCAGTCTCTCCAGCAACCTTTTGCGACCGCCAAGTGGGAGACACTGAACAATATGTCTCGTATACGAGACTGGGGGAGGACAAATCATAAACTCACCATCGCGACGACGCTTGTTCCCTCCTCGATAGCCACCTCGGTCGCGCCTATCATTGCGCTCCTCCCTCACATCGAGATCCGCCATGGCTGACACGCACGTAGCCACTAACCTGAGCCGACGAGTTTCTGGCGAGTCCTCGCGTTGCGGACGGTAGTAGTCGCTGCGCGGGCAAGGAGAGCGGTCGAGGTCGTGGTAGTAGGGATTTTGGGGTGTTGTGTAACGGGAAGAGACGTGTTCGCGCTGCCGGGAACGTCGACGGCGGTGTTCCTTGATGAGGCGCGTTGGAATTGGAGCTGTGTCGAAGTCGAGGATAGCTTCAAGTCGCGCTTGCTCGTCACGGCTAGCCCTAAGATTGTCTTGGCGACTGGGGTGGACGTGCTCCACCTCGCCAGACTCCATGGAAACATCATTGGACGACGAAAGTGCCTTGACGGCATATGCATCTGGTGGGGGCTGTAGAGTGGTAGTAAAACCTTTTAGGTGCGATGGTACCAGGCTGAAATTGATATCGAGCCAAAGCGGGTACTCCACGTCCATGCTTGTATCCATCATCTCATTCATATTGACTTTGGAAAGCTGATACTAGTAGTTAGAATGAGAGAACTTTGTCGATGTCAGGAGTTTCGTGGGGAATTGAGAAACGGATACTACGAAAGTTGTGTAAGGCCAATACTACCAACGAGCGAATCTCGGGTGAGATCAAGAGACAGGTAAAGGTAACAAGTCGACTTACTTAGTGAGAGAGATATAGCTCATGAGCTTCGAAGAAGTCGAATCTACGAAAATGAAACAGCGTTAACATTGCTGGGCCTTGATACTAGGAACTTCGCATTTGTCAATTCTGTGGTCAGTTTAACGCTTCTATACTTCGTTCACTCCACAACCATGGAAGGTATGCACAGAAAAAACACATAAGATCGCAATCAAGACCAGGCAAGAAGAGATTCAAGGGAGGAAATTGGAAAAGACAGTTTCACCGACACATTGACAATTTCTCGCCCCAGTACTTATCTAGGTCCAGCAGTCTGCCAGTCCATATATGTTCCCGGTGCAAGCCTATCCGCCATAGTCCATGGCCAGATCCTCACTAAAATTGATTTACGGTCCTCAAGGAGATGAGGGATCATAAAAGATCAATTTCGCCAGCCCATGTCTAGTCCAACCAGACAAACCTCGAATAGAACTCCTGCATGCAAAAAAAACATGCATTTCAGCCAATGCCAGCCAGCGTGTCATAGAAACTCGGGCGCCAAAACCATCCTAGGATGTCCATAGCCGGCGCCTCCTGACTTTTGTCAGTTCCTCATTGCCTTCATCTTGCGACCATTTGTGCTCATCGAACACCTCTGAGGAAAAAGGAAAAGAATACATCTACGGTGCCGGCCCGTGAAGGTTGTGTATAGACGGGAAGGCCAAGAGCCGAAAGCAAAGAAAACCAGGCCCTTTTCGCAAGTGTAAATATTGGTAGCATTTTAAGACACCCAGATATGGCAGGGAAGGGGTGTACACGTTGCAGCATAAACACCTGAAAAACCGACACCCAAGTGAGACTTCAAAATGGTTGCATCTCTGAGGGCGGAATAACTTCGTGCTCGTGAGCGGAGAGGAGCATATGCCGCGCTGCATAGATGAATTGGTATCGTTTTCGCATTAGAGGGGCAGAAATTAATCTAGCCTTGCCAGCATTTGGTCCCTTATTAACGGCTTGAAGTTAGGCGACTCAAAGTCCAAACCGCGGGCAGCCAAATCAGCACGAATGTGTTGGGGTACAAGCTGCTGGTTGAGATGAGGCGCAATTGAGAGTTCTAAGAGTGTCAGTCGTTTTGTCATCCCTGATAGGAACAAAGGAATTACCGTGATGGGTGAAGTTGTAAAGCACTGGCATTTCTCGCACAGCTCCGTTGGGATGACGTGAATCTGGCAGACGCGTGGTGGGATCCCTCAACTCGTCGAAGAAGGGGTGCACCATGGCGTCAATGGCCGACAGACGCTGGGTCGGTGTGTACTCGAGCAACTTGGAGATCAAATCGATTGCATTGGGATCAGCCTTCCGGAACACCTGAAGCGCTGTTAGCTTGCATGTACAAACGACACATGATGTGTATTCTGGACCGAAACTGTACATACCTTATTGAACGGATGCGGCTTGATTTGAGGGAACTTGTGCTCCATGTAGTTGGGGTTCATTGTACGGATCTGGTCACGCGTAGGTGTTCCGAGGACTTTGATAATCTCAACAAGTTGGTCGATACCCGACTCGCCAGGGAACAGAGGTTGACCGAGCATGAGCTCCGCCATCACGCAGCCAGTTGACCAGACATCTGATGTACGTTAGCTAGGCGAGGCGCAAGCGCGGGGGTGTCCGATGACGTACCAATTTTGGTGGTGTAATTGGTGGCTCCGAAGATGAGCTCAGGTGCTCGGTAGTACCTGGAGCAGATGTACGACACGTTGGGCTCGTTTTCAACCAGGATCTTTGCGCTTCCAAAATCGCACAACTTCAACACACCGGTAGACGGATCAAGCAGAAGGTTCTGAGGCTTGATGTCCCTGTGGCAAATGCCTTGCGAGTGGATGTAGGCGAGCGAGCGGAACAGCTGGTAGATGTAGAGCTTGACCTCAAGAATAGGCATGACTGTCTTCATCTTGTTGAAGTAGCGCGAGGCACGGTACACGGTCTCGGGAACGAATTCAAGCACGAGATTCAGGTACACCTCGTCCTTCTGTGGCTGCACCGGTTAGCTCCATGCAATGCACAGCCGCGCTCGCTGGTGGATACGTACCCGCTCGCCATTGTTGTAGAAGAAAGCCTTGAGTTCGACAATGTTGGGGTGTCGGACGATGCGCATGATCTGCAGTTCACGGTTCTGGCTCGGCGTCAGCAGTCGAATTACGAGCATGACATGCGCAAGCTCACCTTGAAACGCTTGTCCTGTAGCACGCGCTTGATAGCCGCATCCTCGCCGCTAGGCGACAGCTTTGTCTGGAAGACGACGCCAAAGGACCCATTTCCGACAATCTTGCACTGCGTGTAGGCTAGGTCCTTGTAGTCGCCTGTCAGGCCGTCCTGGACCTTCTCGCGGATGACTTCTGCACGGGCGTTAGCATTGCGGTGGCTGCAGGGCGCGAGATGCACTGACCGCCCATTCTGAGTGACGAGAAGGCCGATGGCCGGTTCTGGCTCATTGTTTGGGGAGATGCGTTGATGGGGAGATCCGGCAAGCGGTGCGCGGATTGCTACGAGAAGTAGGGCGAGGGGTAGTTGAGCAGCGTCTGGGTGACGTGTTGATAGTGTGTGAGGAGGGTGGTGGTGGTGGTGGTGGTGGTGAGGTGTCGTAGGAGGTGCGAGGAGAGTGTAGGTGGAGTGCAGGTGGAGCGCTCGTGGTGCGGAGCCAGCAGGTGACGGCTTGGGCAGGCGGGTAACAGGCGTGGCTTGGTCACTAGTCAGGCAACACGGGTCGTTTCCGGGCGCAGCGATGCAGGAGGAAGGTGCAGGCGCGGTGAATGAGGAGCAAGAGAATAGTAATTGACGTTGAGAGCTGCAGATGGAATTGAAGATTGGAAAGCGGGCAGATGATGAGGTTAGGGCGGGGGAGCAGACGCAGCGCAAGCGCACTAGTGCTAGGTAAAATCGATGCCAACGTGACCTCGTTCGCAGCGCCCTGACCAGTGAACCCACGACCGGCTCAGGAGTATGCGCACGATGGTGTACCGCCGGTGAATGGGACCTGGGAATTGAGGGTCCGCAGCGGAGCTTGACGCAGCGTATAGTTCGATAGTTCGTTGGCGAGGCTGCGGTTCCTTGCAAGCCGGAGCAGTAGATCGCTCTTTCTCAAAACAGACGTCACCGGGGCGCAGCTTCCACACGGCGTGCACGGCAGATGCAGCAGATGCAACGCTCTGTGACTGCAGTGCGACGGCCGTCCTCTGCGTTGCTAACAATCGACGTGTAGCGCGGGCCGTCTGCAACGACTCTTGCGCTGATTGACGTGAAGCCGCAGAGCTGCTTGACATGTCCGCAGTCCAATCAATATCCGCAGAAATCACTACGCCAGCATTGCCACCCCAAGTGACAACCTGCATGTGCTCACGTGCACCACCAGATCTCGCCTGGATTGAGCAGCCCCGAATCCTCTTGCAGCGGTTCAGGAACGATCCGACTGGTACCACTCCCGCCAGTTCTGGCGTCCTCACCACCAGCCCGGCGCCCTCGGTGCTTTGTCTGCCACTTGGACACCCCCAGCTCATCACGAGGATCGCAGATTGGCATGCTGGGTTGTTCTGCTCAACCATGGTCTGATTGGCCCTAGACCCAGGCTATTGTAAGCTTAGTGAGGCCGAATTGGTTATCCCAACATCGTGAAATGCTCCAGGGCTCAACATCAGCCAATTCAATGCTGCGGACGCATGAGCGTCTGCAGGCCAACACAAATTTTTATGCAGCATGCAAACGCCCAACGACAAGCAATCGCTGCACGTCGTTTTTTGCACAGCAGCCCATTAATCAACGCAGCCGCCGCCGACCTCGTTCTCGTCTCGTCATAATTTCTAAATTTCCGGCGTCTGCCAGGCCCACCTTAGGAACAGCTGACCATCTACCACGCCCTGGTCCTGGCACCCACCCCTCCACTCTGCAGCTCACCACTCCCCATTGAAGCCTACCAGCAGCTTGGGCCCTCTCCGTCGTGCCTGTCTACCTATTCCACACAGAGGCTCTATACACCTAGCTTCACTCGCCTCCAGTTTATCCTTGATCGTTGGCATGCCGACCTTCAAGCGTTTGTCCCTGGTCGGCAAACCATTGTGCATGTTTCAACGGCGCCGCTATGGTCGGCTACCAAGCTCCGGTAAGCCGGATGAACCACTGCTCGGTATGTATTATTACACGAGCAACCACAAAATGTGTGCCTTAGCACCGATCGAGCCAAACGTGCAGGAACCAACACACATCTTCAAATCGCTCATGACGCTGGCGTTGCCCTCTTCAATCGGCACTCCTCATGACCTCACTTCGTAATATTACACAGCACGTGCATCGTACACAAAGAGAACTTCCAAGCTCAGTTTCGTCGCTGAATTACGTTGATTTGATGTGTGAGAGCAGGTTTGTGCAAACGCCTACTGCAAAGCGCTCGCAACAAATACAACCGAGCACTTATAAATTCGGACTCGCTTTACGGATAGCCAAGCACTTGCTCTTCCTCGGACAGACCACCCATACGTCAACATGCAGTTCTGTGCCGTGCAGCCCGCCACAGTCACGTGACTTTAATCTCACCATCGCATATGCATGGCGATCTGGGCCAAGATCTCGAGGATTGACGACACCATCTCCCCTCAACATTTGGAACAACATCTCACTGGGCGTGATGTGCCTTGCCTAGCCCCTCACCGTCATACCCAATTGTATGACCAGATCAGCAGTCATAGATGTTTTGCAAAGACTGGTAGGTGTCTAACGTATTGTCTAGGCCATTGGCAAAACGCAGCAGGTGATGTTCAGAGCTGGATAGTTTCCATATACTATGCCGCGTCCGGATTGAGGGCATCAGAATACCTGAGGTCATCCAAGCTATGTCGGATTGCAGCAAATTCTGGAGCGCAAACCCTTTCCAGCGACACCGTCTAGACACAGAACGATAAGTGCAACGAAGCGTCCCACGCTGTCTCATATATGGTGGCGAAACAACCACACAAAGGATGGCTTGGGCGTCAACATCTCAGAGTTGGCTTGGTCCAAGGCCCAATCAATTTACCCGCTCACGATCTAATTGGCGACATGCGATACTGGAATCCAATGGCAAAACTGCGCTCACTGAATTCTCATACCGATCAAATTGATGGAGCTGCTGTCGCTTTTCCTAGCTTGGTCTTATTGCACACAAGCATACTCAAGCACAAAACGCAGTTCCACCCGATTATGCTGTCAAACGTATTCGAACGTTGTCTACCAGTGAAATGCCTCACGGATATGAGTTCCATCGCTTCAGCAGAACACCAGTGTACCTCGAGCTGTTGTACGCATGTCCGTATTTGCTTACCGACATCGGCCGAGTATTCCTTGTGCGTACATACAGGTGTCATGTCGGAAGCCGCTGCAAGACGGGTTCGTGTCTGCTCATGGTAAGGGCAAATTCTCCCCCTAGATACACAACCAGGATTACATCGAGGCCATACCTTGATTTGGAGTAATGTAAATCTGAACTCACCTTCCGCATTGGTCGTCGGCACCAAGGACTCAGCCTTGACATGGCCAAGAGCAGTAGGTTCTCGGAGCTACAACATCATGTATAGCGAAACTGATTATGGTCACAACAGAGGGTTGGAAGCGGACAATAGCGAATACAGCAACCGTCTATCTTTATACTGTGATCATTCCATACAGCAGATAGGCGACTCAAATGTTGCTTAGGCTGCACTACTTCAGGCTGGCATAAGATAGGCCTTCGGGACGATCATGCAAACGCTCTCGCTGGTGTCACTCTGGCGACCTCAGTACCTTGCAGGAATATCGAGGGTTATCTGTAGAGGGGTTATCGTTCAACCCGGTGGTACAACGGTTTCACAGACCATATTCCGTCCTTGATCCCAGATCATGCTTGCTAAAATACACAACAACGGGCATAATTAGTGTTGATCAATGTTGGAACACCAAGGTTGAGCTTGTTGTTGCGGCATTCTTTGTGTCCATACCAATAATTTCCATGGAACAGAGATTCTTGCACCTACCTGAAGAGACTCCCGGGAACGATTTTCTAGAATCTCTAAACCACTTCCTGTTCCCCCTTTTCTAAGTATATCTGGCGCAAACAGCAGTCGATAGTAAATAAGTACTTCGTACTTCACTGACCATCATCGTTCGATATTCTGCTCTACCACGTCGGATCATGTGTCTTCAGGGGCATATCGTTACTCGCACTCATGTCTCCATATCAAGCTCAAAATATCGAGGTCAGACCGCGGATGCGGCGTCTTGTTCATACTGAGCAGTTTTACTAGCGATTGCTTGCATACTCCCTCGATTTGCTGCAAGATTCAGCGCAAGGGCTTCTAGACTTCGTTGTGCAAGAAGTTGAGACAATAGCCTTTAGGGTTCGACATTTAAGGTGCAAAGGCTGTTACATTAACTGTCGTTGCTTGTACCCGCGTTGAAGCTTATCAATTGTATGTAGAGAACATCCTCTAGAACAGTGTTAGTTATGCGTGGGAATACTACATATGAATGAGAAGGGTGGTCACAATCTACATTCGAAGAACTAAACTTTGACCAATGGCTGTCCGGGCTCTCAAACATACGTGCTCACATTGGTATATCAAGTAGCTAGTTTTTGAGAGACCGTCATTCAGCTCTACTTCTTTATTACTGTGTATTGCATTGGTAGTGGTTGCCTGTAAATGGGTTAGATTTTATATCCTGTACTGCATCAGAAAATTTAACCGACTGGCGAGTACATATCATCTCCTCAACTCACGGGTGCTTGCAGGTACTTGAAAGTGGGCTTCCATACTCTTGCTAAAGAAAAGTTCAGTGCCAGACTATGTTAACGGAGAATACATAAAATTGGAGACACCAAACGTCTTCTACCAAATCAAGAGAATATGCGGTCGTACCAAAACACCGCGAATTTCCGACATGTATTTATCTAACGCGATCACTCAGTAAGAGGTAGGAAACAAGACTTTCTACATCGCCTAGAAAAGACGGTTTCAAATTCATGACATCCTAACTTTGAACTTGACTCGCAGGTAAACAGTCAAGTGTTACGACAGTTGGATTATGTTATCGATTTCAAGTTTTGGTCGATGTCTAAGAGAACGGAAACATCTTGGCTCTGCCAATACCGGCATTTATTCTACGTCTCGATGAGCAGAACCGTAATTTCTAACGCGACAGTTCATCATTGCGTACGAAACGGTGGGTTTCAACAGTAATATTTTGCCTTGAGAACATCTCAGCAATGTGACTAGAAAACACCAGACTTTTACTTTCAATCTATTGACTTCTACACAGTAAGGAAATTCGGTTGCAAAACGTCATGGACCTCGATAAAATCAGGCGGGTCCCATTCGGTGGAGTTGAAATTTGATTCAGTGGAGCGAATCCTGATGGTGAGGCTCGGAGCCCTATTTTGTCTCAAACCCACGTAAAGTCCTAACGATGATTGGCAGTTTCTAAGACATTACCT